GGGGGGGGGGTGGGGCCCCGCCACCATGGCCAGCCAGCCCCTGCCATGCCCCCTGGCCACACGCTCATGCCTGAGAACCAGCGGCTGGAAACACTGAGCAGTTGGCTCCAAAGTGAGTACCTGGGGAAGGGAGACTGGATGGGGAGCTCATGGGGACCATGCACCCCTCCCCAGCACTCACGGTTCCTGGATCCCCTGTAGGCCAGAGCCAGCTGCTGCGTGAGCTAATATTGCTGCCTGCCGGGGCAGACTCACTAAGAGCCCAAGGCCACCGTGCTGAGCTGGACAGGAAGTTGGTGCAGGTAGAAGAGGCCATCAAGATTTTTTCCCGACCCAAAGTCTTTGTAAAGATGGATGCCTAAGCCCCTTTGTGGGAGTGGTGGCAGAGAGAGCCACAGAAAGATTGCCACATGGCTGCAAAGGACAGGGTTGTGCCCTATCACAGAATGGCAGTCTGAAGACAGGAGCCATGGGGTGGGCAGTGTCCCCAAAGCATTTGTCCCAGCCACCAATGGCTGTGGAAGAGCCATTCCAGCCTTTAAGCCCTTGATCAAAATTAAAACTTTTGTACACAGTACGAGTTGTTTCCATAAGAACTCTTCTTATCCTAGAGGTGCCAAGCCTAGTGGCACTCCCACTACTGGACTTCAGGAAGGTCTCCCTATTGCCATTCTGACTTTTGCCTCACAACCAGGCCAGAAGGGAAGCTAGCAGTATGAGAAAGGAGGCTGGGGCTGAGACAGAAGGATTATGACTGCATCTGTAGAAAACCTTTAATGTCCCCCAGGCTGAGAGGGCCCTGTGAGCAAGCCAAAACCCCCTGGAAAGTCCTTGCCATGTCCCAGTAGCCTAGAGTGGCAAGGGGTTGCATCCTTGCCTGTCAGAGGCTGAAGCCACTACCATTTCCTCGCATGCTACTCCCCCAGTCAGAGCTGGCCTGATCCTGGTCCTCCAGGGAGGGCAGAGAGCTGCGGGCACCAGGCAGTAGGAAGCCAGGATGCAGGTCCCAGCACGGAGGCCCCTCAGGCAGCCCATTGGAACAGGGCAGCTGGCGGTTCTCAATGACCAGGTCACTGCTGTCATCATCACTGTCGGGCTCCGTAGGCCCATGCCCTGCAGAGGGAGGCCCTGTCAGACGCCCGGATGCCCCACGCACCACATTATTGCGCTGGTTGGCAGGCTTGACAGTGACGATGAGGTTATGGCTGTTAGCAACCATCATGTCTGTCACTTGGTCCAACGTCTTCCCAGCCACCTCAATGCCATTGACCTCAAGGATCTCATCACTGACTGCCAGCAGCCCTGTACTCTCAGCCAGGCCCCCACGTACCAGACGGGAGATGAAGATGCCTGGAACCCGCTCCAGGCCCTGGGGAGCCACGCGAATGCTCATGCCATCGCGGATGTAGAAGCCCAGGGGGCGATCTGAACCATGCTTGTGCAGCCGGACTCGGCGGTGGGTCTCAGGCAGTAGGTCCACATCTATGACTGAGGAAACCTGGCGGAAATCTTGGGGCAGGCTGATTAGCAGAGGTGGCCTTGTGCGCAGGGGTGCCACTGGCCGCAGCAGGAGTCCTTTCTTACGTCGCTGCAGAGAGTTGGAGGCAAAAGCCAGGCCACTGGAGTCAGCTTCTGCTGCAGGAGAGGGGAGGTGCTGAGATCAGATACCCTACTCTCCCACTTAGGCCCTTTACAGGGGACACTGTGGCTGTTTCTTATCACTTGGAGGTCAGGCCAAGGGCAAGGGCTGTAGAGGGTGAAGTCTGAGCGCCATGCATGGACTAGCCCTTGTAGGCCTGCCCTGTCACCCTACCCCACAGAGGCTGCCCATTGTACCCCATCCTCCTCACCCCGCTTCTGCACCAGAAGGCGCAGTGGCGGGGGCCCACTGGCCAGGGCGCGGTGCAGGCTGTCATCGTTGCGGAGGGGCAGCAAGTCGCCGTGAGCATCCGTGTAGCCAAGCAGCACGTCCAGGCCCGGGATCTGGTGCACCGCACGCAGCAACCGTGAGAACTCCTGGAAGCCGCTCACCGAAGCGCGGGGCAGTGCGAAGCGTCGGAACTCGGCGTCAAACTGGAGACCGGGGGTGGGGGAAGAGGAGGGGTCAGGACGACAGAGCCTGTGCCCCTTTCTCACCACAGGTCCAAAGCTGGCAGGGGTGAGAAAGAAAGGGCTGCAGCAAAAGCTGCAGCCTTAATCCCAGACCTCAGCTCCAATACAAGGGACGCTGTCCAAGGTCTTCTCTCCTCCCTCCAAGTATCCAGACTACAGAAGGACTCTGGGGGCCGGCAAGGGAAGGAAGGATGGACAGGAGAAGGCGAACGGAATAGGACATGTAGGATGGACGAGATAAAGGTGGTGGGGACCGAGGAGCCGGGAGGGGAGATAAAGGGAATCGGGAGTGCCTAGGGCCGAGGCCGGAGCCAGGGCCGGGCGGACCCTTACTTTGCTCTTCACCTCCACGATGCTATCGGCACTGCGCGCAGGAGTCCTCTGTAACCTGGCCATGGCGGGGCCGGGCGGGCCGGGGACGGTGCCCCAGGCGGCCCGCCGAGGTGCAGGTGCACAACCCGGCCGGCCCGCCCCGCCCCGCCCCTGGCGGTAGCACTCGCCCCGCCCCTCAGCCGGACCGTGACGTCAAGGGGGCAGCGACGAAGAGAGGAACGCGGAGTCCAGTTTCCTTGGAAACGGAGATGGGGGTGGAGACGAGTCATTCTCTTCTCTTACGTCATTACGCTAGGGTCCGCGCGTCCCCAGAGTTGGGGGAGGAGGTGCTCCATCACTCTGAGGGAACGAGGGGAGTGACATTTATTAAGCGCTTTCTGTGTAGTTATTTTCACTGGCCTGACATTCCGCCGACTGCGAATTTTGCGGATGAGGAAACTGAATCACAATAAGTATTTGCTAATCCCTCGGAGTCACAATGCTAACTCGCTCGGACCAGCCCTGGGTCCCTTCCTTTCTGGTGCCACGGAAGTCCTGAGGAACGGCCCAACGCCGGGCCGCTGCTCGAAGAGATGCCCGGGCAATGGCAGGCGGGCTGGCATCCAGGAGTCCCACCAGTTCCCGAACAGGCCGCCCTCGTGCGCACGCGCGGGCGCACACGTGGGCAGGCCTCGGCCTGGGGTCCCGCCCAACGGTCACGCGCTTCCTCT